GCTGTATCATTATTATACAAGACATAGTACAACTGAGTAATAAAAGTGCAATATGAACCGACCATAAACGACCGATATTATAAGTTAAATTTAACACTCTCTTTAGGTTTTTATTATAATTTTAATTTTTCACTTTTGTATTAGAATTTTTAGAATTATTTTTCAAATTCTCTTTGTTTTAAACAAAATATTCTTTTTACTACTTTATTGTATTTCCATTTGAATTTAATAATTTTTTTTTTTTACATATTTTTTTTAAACGTTAATCAAAGCATTCTCAGTTTGAATGGCACAGCTTCAACCGTCTTTACTGTTAAGCGACACGATTTATACTGATTTTAGAATTTCACCTTTCATTATGTTAAGTACTCTACTATTAAGCGTATGCCTTTAGGTTTGAGCTTTTCACGAACAAATGTTGACTATTTCATTGTTTTTGTTTCTTATGCTCTGCTCATCATCATCAACAACAACACCAACAAACACATCATATGATACACGAAGTAAATGTCCTTCGGCTATGTGGAAATAGTAGTACAAAAAACATACACCGATACACATACATATAAAAATGCAAAAAAAAAAATCATGGTAGAAATGTAGGCTAAATATTTCACTCAATAGTGAAGCTTTTTGGGACACAAACTGAGTGCTTGAGTTAAGGGCAGAGAGTAAGAACGTGTAAGTTAAAAGAGTTGTTAAAACCGTTATTTTTTAAAGCATGCGTTGTAAGGCGAATGTTGTGTATTTAAACTAACGGTTACAATTTAAGGTCGATAACGAAGTGTAAGACGTTAGTTTTAATATCTGATTTGAAATATGAATATACAACAGGGTGCACAATAAAAATAAAGATTTTTTAAACAATATTTTAGGTTCTAAATAAATTATGTGTTTTACAACTGAATTAGATCAAATTATCCTACAAATTTTTGAAGAAGAAACTTTCGCATAGGGATCATAAAATTTGTAAGATAGATTTCGATTAGTGTTGCCATTAATGAGCTTTAAAATCCTTTTCTGAAGGGAACCTTATATAGGGGGTATGGTCAATAATGAACCGACCGTTATATAAGTTGTTAGAGAGTTTTCGGCTCTACTCGTATTTTTAAGCTAGTAATGAGCTCTAAAGCCATTTCGTGAAGAGGAAGGTAGGAACAATTAAACTTGTTCGTGTCAAATTTCATCGATATACTTGAATTTTAAGTAAGAAAGTATAGCGTGGCTCACCATATGATACCCTACACCAGTTATGAGTATTAAATGTGATTTATTTTTTATAATAAAGCATTTATATTGAATATAACCTTGTTACCGATACATTGAAGCAATTTATGGACGAAAAACCAATTTTCAGAAAGGGGCTTTATATGGGGCTAGTGACAAATACACATGAAGCGATAAAATTTTGTGAATAGATTTATTTTTGAGCAAAATATTGGGGGAAAAGTTACCAAGTATTGAAAAAATCTTATTTTCGAGTTAAAAAATATTTTTTGTGATAGATATCCCACTCACATCCCATTAAGCGACTTTGAAAATTTTTACAATTGTTTTTTTGGAAACAGTGAAGAAATAGCTATCTTAACTACTTTGGATAATTTTTGTTAGGACCAATAGGTGAAAAGTTACACTCATTTGAAGCAGTTCTTGACCGATAGAGCTAAAAATTTGTGTCTGGTCTACTATCCAATAGTACTAACCTTGGTGCAAATTTCATCCAAAACAATTGTTTTGAGTTGAGTCACTTGACACGTAATTCCTCATTTTTATAATATTTATTAGTGCTGACATTCAAGTCATTTTCTGAAGGGAACTTTGTGTATCAAAACTTATACAAAACTTAGTTGTGTCGCTTTTTAGCAAGATACTGGCATATTTAACATAATAATGAGCTCGTGGGGTTTCTGTTTTATGGCCTGTTCTATTCAATAGGCTTCGTCCTTGGGCAAACAAAAATTGCGTTCTGTACCTTGCGCACAAGGTTTTTATAGACAGCCAACTAGCCAAACGGATGGACATGGCTTAATCGACTCAGAAAACGATTCTAAGCCGATTTGTATACATGAAGGTATAAGACGAATATTTTTGTGCGTTACAAACATTAGCACTAACCCAGGGTATATACGCGTATAAAAACAGTTATGACTGTTTAAAATGTTTTCCACGGGGTCACTTGTATGGGGGCATTCGTAACATATTTGTGAAATATTTCAACCCACCAACTCTTTCCGTTCGGACTCTATCGTGCTTTGAAAATAAAGACAGATGGACAGACACGGCTAGATTGTTTTAGAAAAAAGGGCTCATACGTATACTTTTGTGGATCAATGACCATGACATTTAAGTCTTCCGATATTCAGCCGCTCGATATTCAGCAATCTTAAATAGTATTTTATATAAAAAATAGTAAATTTTTTAACAGACAGCTCTTTTGTCTTAATTCCCAGCAAAAACCTACATTGAAAAGTAATGAGTTAAAAACCTTTGTAAGCGAGAGAGTGGACACTTAAAAAAACAAACTTAAGCTTTTTGTCTGTCTCTTCATAATCTATGGGGTGACAATTGACTTCCTCGTAGGACAAGTCCATGTTAAAACAGCTAGTCACCTGGACAGTCGGTGGCTAAGGCTAACCCTAAGTGTTGGATTTTCCAAATAATGGTTTTAACATGGAAAACAATTTTCTTTCCGTGTGTGTGAAAAACTGAAGTTACCCAACATTTCGACAAAGAGTCAATGCATCCGAAAAAGACAGTGATTTCCACTAACGTCTAACCACCTGGTTGGCTCTAATTCATCATTCATCACGGATGTACTTTTTGTAGACGAGGGTGAAGATAAGCGTCACTTTTCTGTCCCCTTTGTAAGCGAGAGAGTGGACACTTAAAAAAACAAACTTAAGCTTTTTGTCTGTCCTTTCATAATCTATGGGATGACGATTGACTTCCTCTTAAGAGAAGCACATGTTAAAATAGCTAGTCACCTGGACATTCGGTGGCTAGGGCTAACCCTAAGTGGTAGGTTAAATAGTTCATTAGGGACTGTCCGACAGAACTGCTGGGTAGCGCTCGATTCAATAAAATGTACTAATAAAACGGCAAAACACCAAATAAAGTATCTGATTATATGTAGGTCGTTATAAGAGTACTTAAAATAAATACAGACGGTAAGTAGTAGTCATTAAAAAGTAATTGGTTATGTAAGTATAAGCCATTACCTAGTTTTTGCTGGGTTCTTGACTTTGATTAGCTTTTCGGTTTTAATCGAATAAATGTTAATCGGACAACTGAAGAGAATTAACACTTGCTAAACTAAAAGAAGTAAGAGTGCTATATTCGGCTATAAAATTCTTCATAATTTTTTACACCGATATAGGTTCATATAAAACATGTTTACATCGAATATCAGTTCCCAACACTTTCCGCATTAAATTCGGCAGGAAGATTTACATTCCTATAAAAGTTTATTAGATTTTAGCTAGTATGGAACTTACTTTTGTAAAATTTCATCTCAACACTCGTACTTTTAAGCCAGCAATGAACGTTAAAGTCGCTTTTTGAACGGGATCTAAATGGGGGGTAGGGTCAATTATTGAGCAACATAAAATTTAGTAGAGAGATTTTGACTCATATGAAACTTATACATATGTGTCCACTTCCATCGCTATTATTGAAGGGGACATAATATGGGAATTTCATCGCTATATTCTTATTTTTAAGCCAGTAATGAGCGTTGTAGTGATTTTCCGAAGGAGACCTTATATGGGGGGTATGGTCAATTATAGACCGATCCTCGTAAAATTTGGTAGGGAGATATGCCCGTTTTTCAATACCAAACAAAACTTATCTATAGAAAATATTTGTGGAAAATTTCAACCCTCTAGCTCATTCCGTTCAGACTCTATCGTGCTTTCAACAGACAGAGAGACAGACAGACAGACAGACAGACAGACAGACAGACAGACAGACGGACGGACGGACATGGCTAAAAATAAAGACCCAGAATATACATACTTTTGTGGGTCTATGACCAATGTTTCGATGTGTTATAAACGGAATGACAAAATCAATATACCCCCATCTTTTTTGATGGTGGGTATAAAAAGAACAAGAAAGAGAGACCTATGAGGAAGCTATATTTAGTTAAGAGCTAAATAACTCTAAAATACCGAAAAAAGTATGGGTATTATAAAATTCTATATAAATAAGTTCAATTACAATATGTATTAAAAACTCAGTGTAACCAATCACAGCTCCCCCGCTGGGCTCTCAGTTGGTCTACAGTTCAGACTATTATTTTACGAAAATATGATTTTTTGCAATCTAAAAACAAACAAAAACTCCAAAAATTTCGTTTAGAATAAAATTTATTTAGAAGTATTTTTTTTATTTTTTTTTTTTTTATAGTAATAACTAATTAACACTTTAAAGTAATGTGTACAATTACATTGATGTTAAACTACGATAATAAATATTAAACAGTTTTCTTTTATTTTTCATATATTTTGCTTCATTTTTAAGGTTTTTATTATTAATTATTGATTTCGAAAGTTGTAAAGTGTTTGACACTCAATATCACTAAAATAAAATAAAAATACTTTTTTTTTTCATTTAAATAGATTTAATAACTACATGCAATCGTTAAAATTTACAATTTCAATACAAGATTAATATTACGTTAAGAAGTGAAATTATTAAAAAAAAAAGAAAATTAAACAAAATTAAGTTTTTACAAATTACACTTACATTTAGAGACATTATTATGTTAGTAAGTATAAAAGAAATTGTAAATTAAAAAATATATATATTTAAATTTCGTAGAATTTGATTTTCCTAAAGGTACTTGGGATAGCAGCTAAAATATTTAATATTAAGGTTTTATAGCTCAAGACAAGATAAATTTTATTTTTAATGCTTGAATAATCATTATGTTTTTTCATGTTTATTTTAAACTGCTGTTTAGCATTTTCTAATATTTTTTTCTAAAGTTTAAAAGTTTCTTTTTTCTTTTATTAAAATATTTTTCTCTTTAAGCTGTAATCTGTATTTATAGTTTATTTGTAGCTATGTAACTTATAAATGTATGTATTTTGTAAATACCTACTAGACATTTTCTATCTGTCTTCAAGTACATGAGTTGTTTATGTAAATGTAAGTTTGTATTGTTCCCAACCTGATAAGTACTCAATCACAACAATGACTTTTCTATAAATTTGTTTTTTTTTTTCTGATTTTCATTTTGTTCAGATTTCACTTATAAGTATTAGTAAATATAAGTATAAATTTTATTTTGAATCATTTTTTTTCAACAAAAAACAAAATATGCTTATTTTCCATTAAACATATTTTTTCTTATTATTTTTTATTTATACAAACATACTACTTACTCTTACTTAAGGATATAAAAAAATAGAATATTTTTTTTTCCTTTTTTTACCTAAAGACAAGATATGGTATTTAAAACCATTTATTAGAATTAAAACATTTTCTTTTTTTTTAGATTTAAGTTAAATTTAATACTTTAAGTACTGGATAAAGCTCACAAATTATTTAGTTTTTTTTTTAATTTTTTAAATATAATTTGTTATTTTTACTAGAAATCAAAGAAAAAATATATATTATTTGTTTAAAAATTAAGTAATAGTTTTAAAAGTTGTATACATAAGTACATTTTAATTACAAATTATTTAATTATATTATTGTATTATTTTAACTAAAAAAAAAATAAGTACTTACATTAAAAAATACTTTTTTTTTGCATAATTTTTTTTTTTTTTTGAAGTTTAATTTAACATTAAGTAGACTCTAATATGGTTTTAACAATGAAACAAATAACATTATTTATATTTCTATATAATTACATAAATAGTTTTTTTGTGCAATATCTTCTTAAATTGTATATGAAGTATTCTTCTCTATGCAGGAATGGTTGCCTCTTCGTAGAAATCTGGTTCATCTTCATCAGCATTAGCTTCATTGCCATCCAACTGGAAAGGGAAAATGAGAAAATGGGATGATGTTGGTTATAAAGTTTTTTTTTATAAAGATTTATTATACAGATCAGTTCCTATATTTTCAAGAATAAAGATCAGTTTATAGTCAATATTATAAATCAGTATATACTCAATAATATATATATGTGGATTAGTGTATAAACTTGACTATAGATCAGTCTATAGTTATGTCTATAGTCGGACATCAGTCAATAGTTAAGACTACAGCAGAGTCTATTGTCATGAGCACTAATCTGTCTCTAGTCGTGAGTACAGATCAGTCTATAGTGAAAAATATATATAAATATATATATCAGTCTATAATCAATAAAAGAGATTAGTTCATATTTAAGACTATAAATCAGTCTTGTGGTCTCCGGTAGGTTATTGGTTAGTAGTAGACGGAGGGGTGGGTTCGAATCCTACCTGAGGCACTAGTTAACGAGCCGCACAACAGGCCAATAGAGGCCTAGGGTATTTTCTTCGGATTTTAATGAAAACAATCCTCTTTGAAAACGAAACTAACTGAACAACTAACGAAACGAAGAACGAACGAACGAACAACTGAACTAAAACGAAAGACACGTAACGAACCTAACGACGAACGAAGCAACGTAAACTACAACTAACGAACGAACTGAACGAATAACTAACACGAACTAACGAACGAAGCAACGAACGAACAACTAAACGAACGCTAACAACGAACGAACTAACACGAACGAACTAACTAACTAACTAACTAACTAACTAACTAACTACTAACTAACTAACTACTAACTAACTAACTAACTACTAACTAACTAACTAACTAACTAACTCTAACTACTAACTAACTAACTAACTAACTAACTACTAACTAACTAACTAACTAACTACTAACTAACTAACTAACTAACTAACTAACTAACTAACTAACTAACTAACTAACACTAACTAACTCTAACTAACTAACTAACTACTAACTAACTCTACTAACTACTACTAACTAACTAACTAACTAACTAACTAACTAACTAACTAACTAACTAACTAACTAACTAACTACTACTAACTAACTAACTAACTAACTAACTAACTACCTAACTACCTAACTAACTAACTAACTAACTAACTAACTAACTAACTAACTAACTAACTAACTACTAACTAACTAACTAACTAACTAACTAACTAACTAACTAACTAACTAACAAACTAACTAACTACTACTAACTAACTAACTAACTAACATAACTAACTAACTACGACTAACTAACTAAACTAACTAACTAACAACTAACTAACTAACTAACTAACTAACTAAACTAACTAACTAACTAACTAACTAACGAACTAACTAACTACTAACGAACTAACTAACTAACTAACTAACTAACGAAACTAACAACTAACTAACTAACTAACTAACTAACTAACTAACTAACTAACTAAACTAACTAACAAACTAACGAACTAACTAACTAACTAACTACTACTAACAAACAACTAACTAACTAAATAACTAACTAACTAACTAACTAACTAACAAACAAACAACTAACTAACTAACTAACTAACTAAATAACTAACTAACTATACTCAGGACATTTACCTATTTTTCAAGAATAATGATCACTCTATAGTCAAGATTACAGATCAGTCTATAGTCAATACCATTTAAGTTTATAGTGAATACTACATACCTATCCATAGGCAAAACTATAGATCAGTACATACTCAACACTATATATCAGTCTATTGTCAATACTATTACATAAGTCGATAGTCAAAAATAAAGATTATAGCAAAACAATAACTCAGTCTGTGGTCAAGACTACAGATCAGTTTATAGTCAATATACACATACAAATAGTGAAAAAATATTAAAAGATCAAGAGTCTAGAGTAGGTCAGTCCATAGTCAACACTATATAAATCAGTATAAATCAGTCTATAGTCAAAGATATAGATCGATCAAAAACCTTAACTACAGATAAAAATATGTTTATACTTGCATATAAACTAATCTATATCAGTATATACTATGCATAAATATCTAGATCAATCTATAATTAATATTATGGATATATGTGTGTTAGTCTGCTTATCTGTCTGTCCATCATTCTCTCTGTTTATATACCTTTCAAAATCTAAATCATATATTACATAAGTATGTTAAATATGTACTGCATACATATATCTTTGATTTCACAAATTTATACAATTTCTATCTTGAAATATATGCATGTATGTATGTACCATATGAGAATATTGTTATAGATACTTACGGCTTGCATTTCTTGTGGCTTATATAAAGCTGCCAATCTCTGCCTTATGGGCACCATCATAATTAAAAAGAATGGAAAAGCCAAAGAGATTTTCGATGATTTCACAGCCCATAGTAATACCAAACATAAAACTTGTATAAACGTAAACAAATGCATCTTCCATGTAGGAACTCTCTTCACATACGGAGTGGGTGGATAATGTTTCACTGGCATAAAGAACAAACGTATTCTGGAAAAGGAAGAAAGAGCAAAAAAAAAACAACAACAAATGAAAAATAAGTACCATAAGGCATTAAAAGGGGGGACGAAAATTAAAAAAAAAGGAATACACATATTTATAGCAAAAGTACACATATTGGGATTGTTTTAAGTGGGCTTTAAACACTTGTGTGCGCTGCATCAATAGTACGGGTTAATTCAGATCTTACACCATGTGTCAAAGGACTTTTTTCCATGACAAAATCCGTAGAATTTTTAAATATACTTTTAAACAAATGTCCACTTTTCAGAAAAAAGTATTGATTACTCTCCAAAGTAAAATTTTAGCAAAATAACTGAATTTTTACGGAAATTTTTTAATGTTTTAATAAAAGTAAAATTTTCAATCAAAACATCTGCTTTTCACCTATTGTGGTGAAGGGTGTATACATTTCGTTACATTCTTTGTAATTTTTTTTTTAAAGTCTAGTATTTAGGTTATGAGTTTATTTTCTGCTTACAATCATGATTTTTAATTTGGTTTCATGTAAGTGTATTGAAATTGAAAATGTTCATAGCAATAACCAACCTATACTGGAAGCAATTAAATAAAAATTGAAAATTCAAACAGGAGTTCTACGAAAATTGCTTGCTATAGCCATTTCAATTTTTCACAATTAAAAGCTTCAACGCCTTCGTCATATCAATGATAAGAAAGGTTTCACAATATTTTTGCTTTAAACTGAACAAAAATTAAAAAAGAAAACGAAATTGGTTTCCCAAAAACTTAAACTTTGCAATATAAATTTTGCTCATCTTTTATATAGAAAAAAAGTCATAAAAGAAACCAAACAAAAAAATATTAATTGACTTACCTTTCGAAGAATTGTACTCCACTCATTGATGCAATACCCATATAAAGGAAAACACCAAATAACACAGCCATTGGTATGAGACGCAGCAATGGTGCCATTGTTACTGAAAGACCAATCATTAAAGCAACAAAGAAACCCGAAACTCGTTGTTCCTTAACATCAATTATACGTGGAGATTCACCAGGAGCATGTGTTCTATGGAATGTATAATGGTAAATGTTAATACGATTTTATTCAGGAAAAATATGCAAAAAGGACACAAATATTTAAAAGGAAAACTTTAATAATTCCGTTTCATTTAAATAGTTAAAATTAAAACTTACCTTGACATAATAGTCAGAGCAGAAACATGTGCCACTGAACGCACAGTAGCGGCGCAATGCCAAGGCATGCCAAAGAAACCACAGAAGGTATTCAGGCAACACAGCAAAACTATATCAAAATGCAATCCTGAACCTTTCTTTAGGCCACGTTCCGGTTTATCCACAATCAATTCCGAAATATGGGATTCCATAAATATCAATATATACACTAAAATTGCAGGTATTCCAGCCATAAAGGGAATCCAAGTTTCAATGGGACCCAAACTGACCAACCAGCCGCGAGTGGTAGGATCACTGGGTGATAAGCCTTCTGGCACACTTAACTTCTCGGTATAAACAGCCGGTATAAAATAGTCAACCATTACAAATATTGTAATGGCTATAGGTACACCAAAATCGCCTAAAGCTCTGCGAGCATTACGGCCCAAAAAGTGTGAGTTGCGGAATAATTTCAAGTAGTAGGCCACGGTAAAGGTGCCCAATGTTAGAATTGTACAAAACAAAGCTGTGTTGGGCATATTCATTTTAACATTACTATTGTATTCTACATTTATGGTGGCATTCGTTGCAGTTTCATTGCCATTGATTAAGTCACTGGCGTTGGAGTTAACAAAGTCTAGAGTAGCATTAAGGCCTAAACTGGGTGGTGGCAAATTGTAATCGGCTAGAAGTGGATGATTCTTATATACAGATACTAATTTCATAAGAGTTTCTACGATATAGATTAAAGTAATAAGAGCGGAGAAAATTTCCTGGGTAAAACGTGTTAGCAGACGCACATACACGCTGCCCTCGAAGGCTGACACCAATATAGATATAACTGCCAACCAAATACCAATATAGGCTCGGATTGTTAAAAAGTTAATGTTGTTTTCTTTGCAAAAGTTATTCAAAGCCTCATCGAACAACAGTAGAGGACCAGTGGTGCCTATTATCACCAAAGGCTGGCCGGCCAAACTATGAAAGATTACTCCCACAATTGAGGCACTTAACAAGGTTTCCGATATGCCAATAAGATTATGTGTCTTTTCTGAAGCCAAGCCACCAAATGTTATAGCTGTTGAAAGGCAAGCAAAGTACATGAATACGGTGGCGGCCAAGGTCTCAGTGTTCAAACCATCCATTATATCACTTTTATACATGGGCAAACGACGTTTGAGATCATTGCGCAAACCACCCCAAAGTCGGTGTGTTTTCTCTAAAGGACTTGGCTTTTTCTTATCACCATCATCATCACTAGCATCTTCCTGCTTCTTTTCAATGGCAGCTTTCAAAACTTCCTTATGCAGATTGGCTTTATCTTTCATCTCCTTCTTAACTTGTAAAGCTTTGTTCTTACGCAAACGAATCCAGTCTTTTTTAGCTTTCAATTCCTCGAAGGGCAGCAAATCATGGCGATCCCAATTACCAGGTGGCAAGACAATAGAGTCATCCAAAAACTCATTAATGGCGGAGAGTAAATCTTTACGATCATCTGCTTTATAAGCAATGGAATGAAAGGATTCATTGGCCATCAAAGTAGCAATAGAACGACCGACTTCATGATAATCCAAATCCAAAGTGGGTGGACCCAATAGGATGAACATGAAACGTACGGGTATGGGAACTTCGGTAAGACTAGGCATAGGTACACCCTCAGCCAAACGTACAAAGGCAATGGTGGGTTGTTCCAGGAAATCAACTGCACCCACCTATAACAAAACAAATAGCAAATAATTAATATTATTTTTCCCGCAACTTGACTAAATTAATTTCCTTAAGAACTTACCAATACTGTAGTGGCCTCTGCACCATGTGGTATCCTCTTAAGTATAGTATCATTTTGTAGTTTCTTCAAATCTTCCTGGGATGAAGAATACAAATCATCTTTCATATCAATTTTCAAATCATTGCTCTTCTTGCTACCACCAATTTCCAAGGCAGGCATAATTTTAATTTTCTTATCATCGCCCGAAAGATTCTAAATCAAAATTAAGATAGAAAACAACAACACGTGATTAATTATTTAAAAATGTTATTTTAGGTTAATTTTAAAAAGCTAAATAAACTAAACTCATTTCACATGCCAAACAATAGAATAGAACAGAATAGAATAGAGTCTACGTAGAACGTAAAGCTTTAACAATTAGAAGCAAGAAAATAAAGCAGAAAATAACCATTTATCATTATTATTAAAAAAGATAGACACAAGTTAAGGATAAGGATTTTTTTGTGTTCAACGTTTAAATATTTATGTATGTATCTATTGTAGGACACACAAGGTTGGTAACAAAAACAAAGATTTTTTTCTTGGTAGATAAACAAAGCAAAAAATTTTAACGAACACTGCAAAAACAAATCAGAAAGATATTTTCTTCTATTTAATAATATTTACAAGGTTAAAGGTGAAAATTATGTGCTAGTGATGGTTGATTTAATCTGTTTTTTTTCTTGTAGCGAAAACCTACCCAACAACAATCTGAGGGCTCTTAAAAATGTTGAAGATGTTGGTTAAATAGCCTTACAGAGAAATGTTTAAATTTATAGACAAACAAGTAGGAAAGTATATTCGGACATGGCCGATTATATGATACTCTATACCATGATCTGGTTGCATGGGGTGTAGGTGAAATAATGAACCGATTTCGACCATTTTCAATAGTCCTTGTACCGAAAAACTCATATGGTCCAAACGTTATGAAAATATCTTGAAAATTTCGACCTGTAGCTTGCGCACAAGGTTTACATGGACAGCCAGCCAGCCGGAAAGACGGACGGACATGTATTAATCGACTCAGAAAGTGATTCTGATTGTGATCGGTATACTTTAAGGTGGATGTAGGACCAATATTTGTAGTTTGATTACAAGGTTTACATGGACAGACGGACAGACAGACGGACGGACATATCTACATATATCGACTCAGAAAATGATTCTAAGCCTTTAAGGTGGGTATAGGACCAATATTATTGTGCGATACAAACATCAGCACAAACACAATGTACCCTCCCCGCTATAGTGGTGTAGGTGTATGTCCGTCTGTCCATCCGTCCATCTGTCCGTCCGTCTTTCCATCTGTCCGTCCCTCCGTCTTTCCATCTGTTCGTCCGTCCATGTAAACCTTGTAATCAAACTACAGCAAATTTGAAGATAATTCAGTGAAATTTGGTACATGATCTTCTATTGTCACAGGAAAATGGTTAAGATTGGTCCATTATTTCACCTAGCCCCCATAGAACTGAACCTCCGAATAGGGCTTGTAACCTTGTAATCAAACTACAGGTAGCAATTTTGAAGATAATTTAATGAAATTTGGCACATGATCTTCTATGGTACCGAATAGGGCTTGTAAACCTTGTAATCAAATTATAGGTAGCAATAAGATAATTCAATGAAATATGGCACATGATCATCTATGGTAACGGAGACGAAGCCTATTGAAAATGGTTAACATCGGTCCATTATTTCACCTAGCCCCCGCACAACTGAACCCGCCGAATAAGGCTCTTAAGTTCATAATTATGTTAATATACTCGTATCTCGACAAAAAGCTGCAAAACCAAGTTCTATACTAGCCTTGATGACCCTCAAAAATTTTATAGTTATAGGCTCTCATTTGACCATAACCCCTATACAAAGCCCCCTTCAAAATTTGACTTAAATGTCCACAATTTTGTTCAACAATAAATCAAGGTACAATTCAACTTAAATGCTTTATTATGAAAACTAAATCACATTTTAATTTTGTAGCAGGTGTAGGGTATTATATGGTCGGCCTCGCCCGACTATAATTTCTTACTTGTTATATGTTTATTTTGTGTACAATTTCTGATTTCCTTAGCAAATTTAGTCTGCTTATGAAATCATATGAGATTTCATCCAGAAATCCAAAAAGCCTAAGAATGAACTAGTGGTATTTAACACCACATGTCTAGTAAATAATCATAATATTCTAAGGTTGCCTTTCAAAACAATACTAACTTCTTGAAGGTTTACCTTGATGCTATTATTTAAAAAACGCCATAAACTTTAAATGGTGTAATTATTGGTAAGCAAGCTAAGATGTAGCTATGGAGGATACTAAAGGAAGGTTTCGATCCGAACCTAATTGACAATGTATTATCGGGGTAACCTCTATGATCAGGGTCGAACATTTTCGTTTAAAATAATACACGATATTTTCCTACGGAAATAATATTCTGAATCATCTTTTTCTTGCCTCCAAGTATATTTAATTCACTTGCTCCGGTGCGATATGTAATGCCAAAATTTAGGTGGAGCTCGTGAGTTCTAATCATGAAAGTACTTTGTGCTAGAGTAAAAAGAGCGTTCAAATTGCCTTCTTTCACGAGAAATATTAATTCGATCGAAATCCACTATCGAAATAATTTTCTTACTATATCGTGAATATTTCTTTTTCCACGTGAATCTAAATAACAATTCTCACGAGAGATATTTAAATTTATAGAGCAGAAAATAAATTTCGTTCATGAAACGAGTGCACACGCACTTCATGAAATATTTTTTGTTGCTATAAAGCCAGTCATCGCTTACACATTTTTGTGTGTGAGGTGTATTCATATTCTGATCGCTTTGATATCTCTCGTGAGCGAAATTAAAAACAAAAATTTAATAGATATCTCTCGTGAAGCGAACATAAAAATGAGGAACTGAAATACAAACAGTTTTCGTGAGTTTAAATATAAATCTCGAGAAAATGAGTTTTATAACGATATAAGACTCTGCACGTAGATATAAGTGGTCAATGCCGCAAGATTTAATGGTTATGTGGACATTTTGACCGCGTATTCTGAAATTTCATCGTAGTCTCTTGTTTGTATTCTGAAGGCTTGGTATTTCATGTATCCAATATAAATGACATTATGATTTTTCGAAATATTCTACATAAAGAAATACATAAAAAACTTTCATAAATAAAATTTGAGGCATAAAAGTCTATATGATAAAAATTTACAATTAATTAAATCTGATCTCTAATATATAGTACGTATTAATATCATTTACAGACTTTCATGGACTTTTCCTAATAAAATACATATATCTATAAACAAAATACAAATGACATGCTAAGTACTAACGACATTAAGTTATGATATGATTTTTGGGGGGAAACAATATATGTATGTGGGTATCTAGTCTGGGGAGGAAGCATTTCAAAAAACAAACTTTTCTTTATATATTTTTTTAATAAACAGGTTAAAAACTCAAGTAGTTAAGAAAGCTCATCAAAAATATAGAAAACAGAACAAACATAAGAAAAAATGTTAGAGAGGGAGAGCAAATTTAATTTAAAACATTTACACCCAAATACGATAACGTTGAATGACGGCGATTTGTTGCATTTGGTTCGACTACAATTGCTGTTGGTGGTGCACTCAGAGTTTCACAAACAGAGCGTCGTGGACGTGCAATATTTGGATGTAGACGATTTGCTTGTTGTGGTTGTAAATGTTGCTGATGATCATGTCCCATCCATAGCAACTTTATTTATTTATAATTTTATATGAAAGATTTTTTATTTTTAAATAATTGAGATTTTTGTGTGTGAGTTTTGTTTTAAATGGAATTTGTTTTAAACAATTTCCATTATTTAAATGATTTTTTTGGTGTATTTTTTAAGAGTTTTATGTTTGCATATGATAGTGATTTGGAAAAAGAGAAAATAAGTTTAAAAATGAAAAATTTATTTAGTATATTTTTTGTTTTCAGTTTATATCATAAAGTCTTATTATATAACTATTATCAACATGAAAGTTTATGAGTTGGCAAAATCAAAAAGTCTTAAACAAAATGTGTCCAAAAGTTATTGTAAATTTTCGTTTATTATAAGATGTTGGTTTACTTTTGAATTTCAGGGTTTGCATTTTAGCTGAATGTGAATACCTATAGTCCTGTCTATAGACCGATCTTAATTTCGGACTTTAGAATGATCTATATAAAAAACTAAAGACTGATCAATTGTTTATATTATAAGTAGAGACTATAGATTATCAGTCGAGACTATAGGCAGATCTTTAGAACTAACTTTAGACAGATCTTTAGTCCAAATTCTTGACTGATCTATAGACTAGACTAAAGACTAATCATAAGTTAATGATATAGTATATACTATAGATCAGCCAAAAATCCAGACCATAAACTGGTCTTTAGTCCAGACTATATATTATAAAGAATCGGCTGATCCATAATCCAGACTGTAGACTGATCTATAATCCAGACTATAGACTGATGTATAATCCAGACTATAGACAGATCTATAGTCCAGACTATAGACTGATTTATAGTTCAGACTATAGACTGATCTATAGTCCAGACTATAGACTGATCTATAGTCCAGACTATAGACTGATCTATAGTCCAGACTATAGACTGATCTATAGTCCAGACTATAGACTGATCTATAGTCCAGACTATAGACCGATCTATAGTCTAGACTATAGACTGATTTATAGTTCAGACTATAGACTGATCTATAGTCCAGACTATAGACTGATTTATTGTCCAGACTAAAGACTGATCTATAGTCCAGACTAAAGACTGATCTATAGTCCAGACTAAAGACTGATCTATAGTCCTGACTATAGACTGATCTATAGTCCAGACTATAGACTGATCTATAGTCCAGACTATAGGCTGATCTATAGTCCAGACTATAGACTGATCTATAGTCCAGACTATAGACTGATCTATAGTCCAGACTATAGACTGATCTATAGTCCAGACTATAGACTGATCTCTAGTCCAGACTATAGACTGATCTATAGTCCAGACTATAGACTGATCTATAGTCCAGACTATAGACTGATCTATAGTCCAGACTACAGACTGATCTATAGTCCAGACTATAGACTGATCTATAGTCCAGACTGTAGACTTATCTATAGTCCAGACTATAGACTTATCTATAGTCCATACAAAAGACTGATCTATAGTCCAGACTATAGACTAGTCTATAGTCCAGACTATAGACTGATCTACAGTCCGGATTATAGACTGATCTACAGTCCAGATTATAGACTGATCTATAGTCCAGACTATAGACTGATCTATAGTCCAGACTATAGACTGATCTATAGTCCAGACTATAGACTGATCTATAGTCCAGACTATAGACTGATCTATAGTCCAGACTATAGACTGAATGATCTATAGTCCAGACTATAGACTGAATGATCTATAGTCCAGACTATAGACTGGTCTATAGTTCAGACTATAGACTGATCTATAGTCCAGACTGATATATAGACTATAGACTGTCCAGACTATAGACTGATTTATAGTCCAGACTATAGACTGATCTATAGTCCATACTGTAAACTGATCTATTGTCCATACTATAGACATATATCGACTAGATTGTGGACTGTACATATGTGATTTGGCTTACAACAATTTTTACCAGAAAACCTGACTATTGACTGATCTATAGTAATAAATATAGATTTATAGTTCAAAATATAGATTCATATATGTATATGGACTAGGTTCGTCCAAACTATAAAATGTTTTATAGTCCATATATAGACCAATCTATATTACAGTATATAGACTCATCTATAGTCTAGGCTATATATTATTTTGTAGTACAGACTATTGAATGATCTGTAGTCTAGCCTATAGATTGTTCAGCAGTACAGGCTATATTTAGATTGATCTAGAGCCAGACTATAGAGTGATATTGTGGTCCATAGAATAAATTAGTCTGGACTCTAGACTGATGTATAGTCCGTACTATAGATTGTTCTATAAAACAAACATATTTTCTAACTTTAGTACTGATTGACACATTTTAGAGTAAGTATCTACTACTTGTTAAAAATAAAAATATTTAAAAATGTCTTCTAAAACTTAAACGAAAAAAAATATATTTATTTAACTTAAACTAAAGAAAAATTTTGAATTTTTTAAAGAAATAAATATTCTCTACATATGATATTTATAATAGTAGAAAATGCATAAAGTGAATATGATACAATTAACTATAAATTACAAAAGAAAACTTAAAATAAAAACTGCGTATTTACAATTATTATAAAAAAGCCAATTAATTTAAAAGCCAATTCAGTATATAAGTATGTACGGTAGATAAACTTATATGAGTTTATATGATAATATAAAGAAAAAGCGAAAATATGCACAACTAAAAAAAATATTACAATGATTAATGATAGACAGCAAAAGCATGGAAAGGAAGTATAAAGTTTAAAAAAATAAATATTCAAATATAATAAAGTATGGTATGTAAGTATGTAGGGTAAGTACACATATTACCAAACATACACCATACTTTACCATGATAATCATCATACATCAATAAATAGTAATGTTTGTACGAACATGTAACAACACAAAATCAAATAATGGAAAACAAAGAAATAAAAAACACACCAGGAAGGATAATAATAATGAATTTACGATGGCATGTATTTGACAAGAGAGTATACATATGTATTTAAGAATGATCATAATTTAAGAAAGGATTTATAAAACCTACCTGTAGACTGGTGTAACTGTTGTATTTACGTTTCGTAAAAGGAAAACCATTTTGATTTTCATTTACATGACGATGGCGCAACAGTAAAGAACGCAATACAGATGGTTTGTCATCGGAATTAATTAAATCTTCAATAACCATCTACAAAAACAACATTACAAAAGGCATAAATAAATTGCTTAATTGTATTGAGTATTTAAATTTTAATATTATTTGTTTTATTGAAAATTATTCTTCCAGTACCTGTTCGACAACACGATATGCAACGGCTGGTAAATCCTTTTCATTTAAATCCAACAGAACTACACCGGTTTCTAGACAACGACGCAAATTAAGTAAGGAATGAAAGGAGAGAGATGCTACGTGAGGTTTGCCCCAACGATCGGAGCCCTCTTGGACGTCTTCTTCATATTTGATCCAACGGGCTGTTTCTTTCCATTCGCGATCCTCTCCGGCACCAATAAGTTCATCAAGTTGCACAAAAATCTAAATATTTATGGATAATTTTAATAACTTTTGAATTTATGTAGACTTATCTGTAGTCCAGACTATAGCTTAGTCTGATCTAACGTTTTAACTATAGACAGATCCAGACTATAGAATAATGAATAGTTTAAACATTTGCCTAATATATAGTCTACACTATGGACTGAGCTCTTGTCCAGACTATAGACTATGTGTTAATCTACAGATCAGTATATAATTAACACTACTGTAGACTATAAATTAGCCTAGACTATAGATTGATCAATAGTTTAGAATATAGAATGAACTATATACATATATAGTCCACATTGTAAACTGATGTATACTAAAGAACAAAGTCTGATTTATAAACTAATCTAAAGTTAAGACTATGAACCGATATATATATATATATATATATAGTCAGATTGCAGATCAGAGATAGCCAATACTATATACTGATCTGTATACGGATCTATAGTCCAGGCTATTGACTTATCTATAGACCGGTCTATAGACTGGTCTATTGTCTAGACTATAGTGTGATCTGCAAACATGTCTATGGAATGAAGTTATAGCCTAATCTTCAGTCCCGATTAAAAAACCTACAGTTTTCAAAATCGTTTATGTCTAAACTATAGTCTGATCTGCAAACAAGCTTATTTAGGATTTTTTATTCAGCCTAATGGATTCACTTATAGTCCAGATTATAGATTTATTTATAGTCCAGGCTATATACTGATCTTAAATGCAAGTTATATACTGATCTCTATTCCAGGCTGATCTTTGGTACCGATGAAAAGAAATATCTATAGTCGCTAGACTGGTTTATTATTTAAGCTATAGCCTGATTTGTAAGCAAGTCCATTAACTGATTTTCTTTCAGTCTATGAACTGATCTATATTTCAAGCTGTAGACTGATCTATAGTCCAGCCTATAGACTGATCTAGAGCTAAAAACTGATCTATAGTTCCGATCAATAAACGTATTTATACCCACATCTATAGATTTGAATGTTATTCACATTCATAACAATTTTTCTATTTTTCAGAACTTACCTCATGTGGACTATGATCAAATATTTTCTTTGCCTGTTGTAAGCCAGCTACACTGATTTGTGGTAACTCTCTCAGTTTAATCGATGAATGATGAATTTTGTGCCTTCTCAATGCTCTGGGATCATCTGAACGATGTGATCTTAATTCATTAAGATCCGCTTCCTAAACAACAACAAAAAAGAACAAATAAATTAATTCATCTATTAAGAACAATAATTCCAAAAACAATTATTAACCTGGGAGGCCTTCGGAAATGCCTTTAATTATGTGTTTTATTTTATAATTGTTTTAAAAGGGAAAAGCATAATAAAGTACAAATATTTACAAATAATAATAGTAATAATGGTATTATAAATATTTATCTAAATATAGGTACAAATTCATTACAAACATAAATATTAAAAGAGAAAATTTGTAATAATATTTACCTCCAAAGTGGCATCTTCCGGTGCTGATATTTTACGATTACCGGCATCGCCGTTTTCTTCAGTAACTTTTTTGGCTTCCACGCTGTCTTGATGGGAAAATTTACGTTGTCTATAATACTGATGGCGGCTGAAAACATGTTCGAAAAAGTGGAAAAAAACAAAAGAAGAAAAATTAAATAAAATCAAAAAAAAAAGCAATCATTGTGTTAGTTAAATCAAGTGTATTAAAATTAGGGTTGCCAGCCAACTTATTTTTTTAAATTAGACTCAAAAGTTCAGGAAAATTCCTCAAGTAAGTTAAACAGATAAAAGCGTTAAAAAACAAAGAAAATATGTTCTTTAAAAATCCCCCTAGATCTAGCACAAAACTTAGAACTCTGGCCACCCTGCTTTTTGTGTTTTTATTCTTCATAATCTATTTTCGCTTTTAATATTCTCATTAATTCCTTACCTTTTTCTTCTTTTACGTTCGTGTATATTATCGTTGGGTTGTTCATCATAGCTTAAACTAGGGGGTGTAACAACAGTTGCCTTCTTCTTACCAAATTGTACGTGTTTTTCATCAGCCGAATTATCCTATAAACATGTTGTTATACAATTATTTTCTTTTTGTTACTTGCTTTTTTTTTATGTAACACATAAGTTTTTAAGTAGAATTTTAAATAATATTATAGGACGACATCAAAAATCAAAACAAACAAAAAAATTTAAAATGTTTAACAAAAAATCACACATACCGAATGATCACCATGCCCAGCACGTTCGGAAACTAAGGGAAAATCTTCTGGTATATCATCATAATTTTGTGCATTTGATGAATCATTATTGTGTTCGTATTCTGAATCTTCTTCAATATTAAGATCGCTATTTAGATTTTTTGTGCGATGTACTGAAAATGTAGAAAATTAAAATATATTAGAGTTTTATTGATTTTTAATGAAATTTTTTTCTACTATATAGTAATATTACTATCATCTGAATCTTTGTTCTAGATTGACTAAGATTCATACTATTCTATAGTTCAGAATTTAGTAGAGGCTACAATCCAGTCTGTAGACCAGTTAATACTCAAGGCTATAGATTAGTCTTCACAGTTAAACCAGTATTTTAAACCATTAGTCCAGTCTATAGTTAAAACCATAGATGAATCGTAAATTATCAACTTATAGTTAAAACTATATATACATACTTTTATCGATCTTAAATTATACATAACTATAGGTCAAACGATACGGTTATAACAAGAGTTTAAACGATACTAGATCAGTATATAGTTATGAATATAAATTAGTTTATAGATAAGGACGTAATTTACACTATAGATTAGTTTAAAATTAATACTATAGATCAGTCTTTACTTCAGTCTAAAGTTAAGACTGTAGAGGAGTATATAGTTTAGTCTATAGATGAATCTATAGTTAAGATCTTTCTAAACTATAAACATCAATGTATAGTTAAAGCTATTGATCCGACTGTACTTAAGATTATTGATCAGTATAGATCTAGTTAAGACTATAGTCTGGTCTATAGTTAAGACTATAGACCCGTCTATACTTAAGACTATAGACGCATCTATAGTTAAGACTATAGACCCGTCTAAAGTTAACACTATAAATCTATAGTTAAGACTATAGATCAACCTATAGTTAAAACTATACATCAATCTGTAGTTAAGACCTTAGATAAGTCTATCATTATATAGTTAAAAATATTGGTCAAGGTATGGTTAAGACCATATGTCTAGCGTAAAACCTATAGATCAGAATATACTTTCGACTTTAGACCAGTCTATAAGACTAAAGATTAGTCTTAAATAAAGACTGTAGATCATAGTTTTTAGTTTCTACTATACATTTATAGTAAAACTATAGATCAGACTATATTTGAGACTATATATCAGTCTATACTTAAGACGATAGATTAGTCTAAATTAAAGATTTTTGATAAGTCTCAACTATATCGCTCTGTAGTTAAAACTATAGATCAATACTTTAGAGTATAAACCAGTTTATAGTCGTGTCTGCTAAAACTCTTAGAAATAATTATCCAATTGTTTTCTCGGCCATTCAATCCGCATTTATAAAGCCACCAACATAGCTCATTCTTGACGAGTCTGAATGTAATCACTGTTAGACGACAATGGCTATCATTGAAAGTAGATTCATAATTACAGGTTTTGATGAAATTTTTATGGAAATACGAATACTTGATAACATTTTCTTGGCGTGAATGTTTCTATTATAGAAAACTAATTGATATGGTGAAGTTTGGTGATTTCATAAGATTTATATTCTTTATAGATAAAGTCTATGGTGGACTTTGTACCAATCTAAAGAAAATTTTGCAGTATGAAAACTTTCTTAAAGTTAATAAATGATATGAGGTTTTGATTTAAGTGGACATTGGATACTAAGTTAAATTCTGAGCCCGTAACAGATAATTTATATTTTATTAACAGTGTGTCCACCACTAAATAGATTGTTTTAACGAATATGAAAAACTGACTAAAACTTACTAAGACTCTTTATATTAGTATTTCTTTATGATTTCCTTCATGATTTCTAGGACATTTACTAGACTCTAGTTCTCATGGTATACAATACTTACAAAGCAACAAAGTAGTATAATCCCTATCATTCATGTTGTAAATTTTAAATGATCTGTTTAGTTTTTAAAAAAATTTATTTCAAGAACTTTATATTAACTGAATCAAGTTAAATTTTAAAGTATTGCTACTTACCATTTTTAGGTTTATAAGATCCTACTGGATGTACCGTGTCCTGAAATGTGGTCACATCAAATTTTTCCTTTAATGAACTTGGACCAGCGAAAACTTTTTCCATTTCCGAGTCCAAGAGAACTTCATGAGGATCTTCATTTCCACCAGACTGAAATTAAAAGAAATGTTGGAAAATATTATAAATAACTATCGAAAATTGTTTTTTCTTTCAGTGTATTTTCTAAGTATATGTCTTAAACAATTAATTTTCAAATAAAACAAATATTCCCTGAATACAGTGTGTCCTTTCATATAAACTTGAGTTCATTGACACAGTAACAATCAGAATAAATTTATGGGTAAATATTACAGGTAAATGGCGTTAAATTGAATAGTTAGTAGCACCTGCTCCAATCATTTAATATCCACGAAAAAATATATTTTTAAACACTTAAATTGATTTTTCTACTCTTCTTATTCATGGTTTATTAATCTTTGCAAAAGTTTTTCTTTTATTTAATTGTGTGACTTTTTCAAAAGAAAATATATTTGGCGCCTAAAAAGTTAGTGTAATAAATTTCATAATAATCCAAGTTTTTCATATAATATGCAATAAAAATAAAAATATAAGTGATGTATTATTTTTGTAGAAAAAAGTTAGAGATTCATTTTAACACTTTAACCAAATTCTACTGTATTAATATTTATATATTCAGTATCGATATGTAAAAATATTATTACCAACAAAAAATTATGTATTGTTTTGAATTCCAAAGCAAGTGTAATTAAACTTCAGTACTTTGGAAAAAAAACTTAAGAGTTCATTCAACAATTCATCAGTGATTAAATATCCTTGTACTTATAATTATTATCAGTTATGTAAACAATTTTACTTATCAATCTTAACGGAATACGTACATGAAAGTAATTTACAAAGTCATTATGTATTTTGTTTGATTATTAAAATGAACAACAAATATATTTGTAATGAGAAAAGGCAAATACATGTAAGTAAATTCGGATTATAAAGCATTTCTTTTTTATAAAGCATTTCTTTTTCTAACAAAAGACATTTTTATAATATCAAAAGCTTTTTTATTATTATCTTTTCTAGTATAAAAATTATAGGTCCGAGTTTGTAATAATAATGATGAGTCATGAAAAAGAACAATTTATATGGACAACAATGAAGTTTTCGTATTAATATTGACTACATATTAATATGCATATGTATGTATTTTCAGAGACTCTTACTAATACTCTCATAATAATTTTTTTTGGTATAGAAATCAATTGTCATATGAAACACTATTTATTTTATATTTTCCTTTAGTCTTATTTTTAATTATTTTTGAACTTGAACTTGAACTAGAACTGAACTAGAACTGAACTAGAACTGAACTAGAACTGAACTAGAACTGAACTACTGAATAGAACTGAACTAGAACTGAACTAGAACTGAACTAGAACTGAACTAGAACTGAACTAGAACTGAACTAGAACTGAACTAGAACTGAACTAGAACTAGAACTGAACTAGAACTGAACTAGAACTGAACTAGAACTGAACTAGAACTGAACTAGAACTGAACTAGAACTGAACTAGAACTGAACTAGAACTGAACTAGAACTGAACTAGAACTGAACTAGAACTGAACTAGAACTGAACTAGAACTGAACTAGAACTGAACTAGAACTGAACTAGAACTGAACTAGAACTGAACTAGAACTGAACTAGAACTGAACTAGAACTGAACTAGAACTGAACTAGAACTGAACTAGAACTGAACTAGAACTGAACTAGAACTGAACTAGAACTGAACTAGAACTGAACTAGAACTGAACTAGAACTGAACTAGAACTGAACTAGAACTGAACTAGAACTGAACTAGAACTGAACTAGAACTGAACTAGAACTGAACTAGAACTGAACTAGAACTGAACTAGAACTGAACTAGAACTGAACTAGAACTGAACTAGAACTGAACTAGAACTGAACTAGAACTGAACTAGAACTGAACTAGAACTGAACTAGAACTGAACTAGAACTGAACTAGAACTGAACTAGAACTGAACTAGAACTGAACTAGAACTGAACTAGAACTGAACTAGAACTGAACTAGAACTGAACTAGAACTGAACTAGAACTGAACTAGAACTGAACTAGAACTGAACTAGAACTGAACTAGAACTGAACTAGAACTGAACTAGAACTGAACTAGAACTGAACTAGAACTGAACTAGAACTGAACTAGAACTGAACTAGAACTGAACTAGAACTGAACTAGAACTGAACTAGAACTGAACTAGAACTGAACTAGAACTGAACTAGAACTGAACTAGAACTGAACTAGAACTGAACTAGAACTGAACTAGAACTGAACTAGAACTGAACTAGAACTGAACTAGAACTGAACTAGAACTGAACTAGAACTGAACTAGAACTGAACTAGAACTGAACTAGAACTGACTAGAACTAGAACTGAACTAGAACTGAACTAGAACTGAACTAGAACTGAACTAGAACTGAACTAGAACTGAACTAGAACTAGAACTGAACTAGAACTGAACTAGAACTGAACTAGAACTGAACTAGAACTGAACTAGAACTGAACTAGAACTGAACTAGAACTGAACTAGAACTGAACTAGAACTGAACTAGAACTGAACTAGAACTGAACTAGAACTGAACTAGAACCAAACTAAACAGAACTAGAAGTCAACAAGAATTGGACTTAAAAGTACTTTTAGTATGTCGCCGGAATGTTTCCATGTCTGCATTGTTATACCCTTAACCTTCATTATAAATCAAAATCTTACTTGATTTAAAAAATATATGATGAAAGTAGCCAGATAAGTATTTTATATATAAGTATATATATATTGATATGAAGCATTTAAAGCTTGTCAGGCATTGACATAAAACTACGATTATGGTTATCCAAATTAAGATAAGCCTTATCAAACAACCTTCGAAATAATATTTTAATTTAACAAGTATGTATTGTATATGCAAATGTCTATAATTACAAAGTTATTCCTAAATTTAATAACAATTCAGCAATATTTAATTACTATATCGAAAAATAAAGAAATGTAGTATAAAACCCACATCAAAAACATTATAATTGGTAAAAATAACTAAACATTAATATTGATATACATAGGTATATATCACTTTCAGCATGTATATATATACATACATACATACATTCTCATTATAGTTAGTTTTACAAGTACCACAGTAAACTATAAACTTTGTTATTTTATTTTATATATAACCATGACATTAACTATCTATCTAATTTTCTTATCTCGTTTTTATCCATACATACATACTCATGAATAAGCGGTAAGTACTTTTAGGCTTAAATATTATAAAACTTGAACATAAAATTAAAATAAACAAACAAATGAGGAAAAAAATAGTAGTGAAATACTTTCAAGGTCTTTTTTAAACATACAGACATAAAGAAAAATTCTATAGCTAATGATTGATCAAAAAACTTTGTTAACAAACTTGTTATTAAAATGTATTAAGGAAGGAGGAGAACGATGATGAGTAAAATGACATAACCATACTTATGTACAGACATAGATACATAGATACAGAATCAATATATAAAACTAAACAACAACAAAATTTAATGATTTGTAAAGTAAAAGTTAATTTGATGATAGTTATTTTATGAGTTGTTACAAGATTTCGCAATTTTTACCGCTAAAAATAAACTTTTTAGAACAAGAAATTTATGATTCTTTGCCAAATAGTTAATCAAAAAATAAAATTATATTTATAGATAGAATATTTCCAGTGAATTTAAAAATTATTGGAAAATTTCTATATTAAAATATCTTCTATAAATTTGAAATAAACTGTTATAGAAAATTTCTGTAAAAGAAAAGTTATCAAACATTTTTCTATAATTCATAATTTTCTATAGAAGAAGTTATGAAAAATTTTGCTACTTTTATATTAAAAACCACATGACGTTTACCATAAAAGAGCACCAAAATACTTAACATAAGTTAATCGCTAGAAATCACAAATCATTAACCCCTTCTTACCACATAATCTCTATGTAATTACTGTCATTAAAGTGACCAAAAAGTGAAACACTTTTCGTATAAATAAAATGTAATGCAAATAAATTAAGCAACTGAAAGAAAAAAAAAACAAAAGAAAATCTGTTTCCCCTTTAAAGGTCAACTTGGCTGCAGTAGCAACTCATTAATAGTAATGAAGTAATTAAGTACACATTCCAAACATTAAGCAGAAACTTGGCTCAATTCATTAACAGAATTTCTGTGTGATAAATGTTGTCGATAAAACAAATAATCGAAGATCTCAGAAGAACAACAAAACAAAAAACTAAAGAACTAGGTAATTTGGAAATATATATCCAGAAGCCAAGGACAGAGGACATTAAACGACTAATGTAGATATATTATTAACATTTCTTATTGACTGGAAGGTATTAATTATGTATGCATATTCATTTGTTATTGGAGCAATTAATTGTATTATTTTATTTTGGGTATTTGAAAAAGTTATGGTTAATTAAAGGTGATATTAGTTATTGTAATTAACTAAGGTTAAATAAATTAGACGAATAGTTTACTCACTAAATAGATAGAAATATAGCAAATATAAGTATATCACCAATCAATCAATAAGAGCTCGATCAATTACAAATATGCAAAAAAGGAAATGATAGATTTAAAATTTCCTTAAACTATTTTCGAAAATTTTTATAAATCTAAAATTTATTAATCAGTTTGTTTAATAGTAAAGTTATAGAATTTTCCCACAAATTTTCCAGAGAAAATTAATAGAAAATTTTCCATAAAGAGAAAATTTATCGAAAATTTTCTATAAAGAGAAAAAATTCTATAAAAAGAAAAATTATTGAAAAACTCCTATAAAAAAATAATTATCGAAAATCTTCTATAAAAAGAAAATTTATCAAAAATATTCTATAAAGATAAATTTATCGAAAATTTCCTATAGAAAGAAAATTCATCGAAAATTTCCTATAGAAAGAAAATTCATCGAAAATTTCCTATAGAAAGAAAATTCATCGAAAATTTCCTATAGAAAGAAAATTTATCGAAAATTTCCTAAAGAAAGAAAATTTATCGAAAATTTCCTATAGAAAGAAAATTTATC